TGGCAAGATTGGTGTTAATTCTGGTACAATCGTTACTGGTTGGAATGGTATCATCGGTGCAGATAGAATCGGTGTGAACATTGGTGCTGGTTCTGGTAATGGTGATGGAGCAAATAACTCAGCACGTGCCTTTGGCGCACGAGAGGGATCTCCATTTTCTTCTCGGCTAGCTTTCTTTCTCACATGCCGAACCGATGGCGATACTTTCTCTGAACCGGGGCTTTCAGTTAAATTTCTTTCCCTTTTGAACCGAACTATGTACTTCTGCTGTTTAGTAGTGTTAATAAATGTATCCAAAAACTTTTGAAAGTTATTGATCTTAGCGTAGCAGGGACGGCAAATGACAAGAGACAACCCTTCATTTTCCTCGATTTTGATTCCAGTTAAACTTTCGATGTTAGAAATTATGTTTTCGGAAGAAGACTTTGATACAAAAAGATTGATAGGATGATTTAAAAAAAAAAAAAAACATTTCCATTGCAGCAGCGGCACTGGCAAATTTTTTTCTAGGGGAAAAGTCCGCCATGTTTTATTATGAATATTTACTTTCGGACTTTCTATTGTTTAAATTCGACCAATCAGAATGCGCATAAAATAGGCTGCAACCAGAGCCTCTCGTTTCTCGGTGCTGACCACGAGGAACGTGGGCTCTGGGTACGAGATTGATGCATGGACGGGAAAGCCAAATAAGATATCTTACCGAAAGCTACTATATCTGGTTCACTGCACAGTGKCAAAGTATCATTCTCATCCGATGAACAAATGTTAACAACGTTTACTTTGGATTCAACGCCACACTTCGCTATATCCATGGAAACRTTACATKGGATGCTGTTCCCAGAATCCGTGTCGTAGAGGTCGATAGTCGGTGGGTTGTGATATTGGCTATCACTTTTGGCCTGGCAACTACGATTTAACGTTACAGTGTGTATGTAGACACTTCTTTGTAAAAATAKCTGTATCCAGGGAACAGATGTCTAGAAACAGAGAGAACGTCTCATAAAATGGAAGATAAATCTATAAACGTAAATAGACGTAAATTTGGAAAAAATTATAATGGATATTAATTAGAATAATTATAAATATGTGTTAATTGACTCTCGACAAGTATTTCCAAGAAGGTTATAGTTCATAAGGAGAAGTACGTAAAGGAGTCGTCATGTGCAGCTTTAATGATTGATCTTTCAACCCGTTTTGGCTCTGCCACCGTAAGTAGATATGTCTAAGATATCCTCAAAATCAGGTTCTCGTTCTTTTTCTTATGCTGCTGCTTCTCTTTTTAATAAAATAAATCCTGAAGTGAAACATGCTAAGTCAGTGCGAAGTTTCACTTCCAATTATTGTCATTATCACCAAGCCTGAATATGTTAAGGTTTGGGGGTAGTACCGACGATTGGAGGTGAGACTTCGTCTGTCGTTCCTTTGTCATTTTTAGTTTTACTCAATTAATATTAATTGCATTAACCTTAGTGTACATATTTCCTTTTATAATTATTTGTAGTTTTATAGATCTCAAGTTTAGCTATATATTTCTATTGTTATCATATATTTAACATTATGTTTAATTTTTATCAATATATTTATTATGATTCATTTTATACACAGCTTCAGTGTAAATGAGCTTCTTCAACTTTCTGAATTCTGTGTTAAATAAAGTTTATTATTATTATTAAGTACTGAGCCCCAAATGGTCTCCAATATTGTACCGCTTTATCCTTTCTCTTTCTTTTAATCATATACGTTGGGTTAAGGCGACACTTCTCTATTAGAAGCGGTAAAAGGACAAGGATTTTCTGAATCTGGTAGGAGCCAAAGGTTCTCTTTGCTAGTGCAGAGCTTAGTTTTCTGTTGTCGCGCGAGTACTTGTGCGGTCTTCTTCTTTTAAGTTAAAGCTTCCACAACATCATTGTATATTTTAAAGTTTATCTCTGGTGATTCCGTGTGTCAAAAAGGTGTCTGGACCACTTAATCATCTCTTTAGCTGATAAAACTAATTTATTTCGAATATAAAAAGCTATGAAAAATTGGCCTAAGAACATTGGAGCTCAAAAATTACAACTAGAAACGCTCTTAATCGCTTTTTCCCCGCTCGATTTTTCTTAAACTTACATATATTTACCGTTTAATTATGGAGTTTACAACAATACCAAATAAATAACACATTGTTTTTTTTCCCAGTGTATTCCTTAAATTTCTTGATTACWGGCTTGAAAGAGTGTTGTGTTTACATTAAAGTTCTCGAGTACGCTTCTAATAAATCCCCTAGTCTACCACGATTTACACATGACAGAATCTACTCATTGGTACACGGGGTGACGTGG